TGAGAGTGATAATGAAAACATTTTAGTTATAGTTATTAGGGCTGGGTTTTTCTTCAAATTTCACAATTCGATTCAATATCGATTATTTTAGATATATATCAGGTACAGGACATGGCATATTTTCTCAAGGAAAAAAAAATCTCTCAACTAATGCTGTAAAATATACCCGAGAGTCAATAATATTTTTGGAAGGTTGAAATTTGCTGATTTGTATACAAACACTTAAAATATACTCAAAGGTTTTGTAATATTAAAAGGTTATAATACTAACTTTAAATTACATAATTATATTTCTACTCAAATTCGTTTTTTTGAAATGTAAACATTTAAATGGTGGCTGTCACAAAAACTTAGCAGATTTATTCAAACAAACTATATATATTGAAGAACCATAAAAAATGATAATGAATATGTTATACGGTGCATATTTAGCAAAAAGCTCCTCTCTAGAGTTAACTGAAAACGTGACAATGTTTACAAGCGATTGTCATCTTTCCGCATTTTAAAAACACTGATTGAGCAATAACATGAGACAGGAGACGGGTTTAACACCTTCGGATGTTCATTCATGTTTATTTCATGCTGTAACTGCTGTTAAAGCAGAGGAGACGATCAGTTCACAGCGATCTGTCACTCCACATTAAACAGCGCCAAAATGCCATTTAATATTTGAATATTGCAATAAAATGGACAGAATTTGAAATCTGAGACTTTGTTTCATATCAAAAGTAACACTTTATTGGATGGGAGCCACGCTACAATGTTCCGTTCATTATCTGACAGGTGAGACAAATTGATTCTTGAGATTTATGAATCGATATGGTTTCACAAAAATGAGAATCGATTAAAATCGAGAAATCGATATTTTTTTTTACCCAGCCCTACTAGTATCTAATACTCACATTTTGTCCTGAGTCTTTTCCAGTCCGTAGGCTAAAGCAGCAGCCGTCGGCTCGTTAATAACACGAAGCACATTCAAACCAGCAATCTGTCCGGCGTCCTTGGTTGCCTATAAACACACCAGACATTAAAGACAGTCAATTATAAACAGATATTAAAGATAGATCCCTCAAAGCTGGTTCACAATGTTCTCAACATGAGCGAATAATGAGACCTGTCAGATGCACAGAGAGTTGGGTTAATCTAGTAGAATGAGAAATCTGTGTCACACCTGTCTCTGAGAGTCGTTGAAGTAAGCAGGTACGGTAATAACAGCGTTCTTCACCGCATGACCCAGGTAGTTCTCTGAAAACAGACAAGCAGTGGTTTGATGGAGCTTATGATCATGTGTAGGGGTGGCGATATACCGGTTAACCTGGTAGAGATCAGGGGTGGGAGAAAAAAAATCGATTCTCCGATGCATCGCGATTCTGAGCTTGGTTTTTTTTTTTTCCCGCAAATGGCACGTGTGTGCGCTAGAGACGCAGTGGGCTTCATTGCACAGAATTAGCGCTTTGAGACACGTGCGCATTGCTTGACAGTGTGTGCTTCCCCCCGCCGTGTTTTACTTTAGATATGCATTCATGCCGTTTGGAATGCAGTACTATTAGATGCACAAAACTCGCGCACTGACAGACTTTCACGTGCGCTTTGTGTTTGTTGTCCTGAAGCTTGATCGAGGCTGCGGTTAAATGCACTTGCATATACTTTTATATGAAATTGATGTGTATACAGTCAGTTATGTTTTCAGAGCAGGACAGAACATCTGATATATCGAAATAGATCTGTGCAATAATGCGGAGGAAAAAAGAAAACCCCGTAACTAGCCAATTGTCTGTGAACTTTCGGATACTTAAAGAACACTTATATGAAATAAGTAATTGTTTTAAAAAGTAGTCTGCTTATATAATAAAAAGTAGTAAATTTTGCACAAATTAAATTTGATATAAAATTTCTATGAAAATATAGCCATGTGCAGTAATATTGAAAATGTGACGCATCTTGATATTGAGTTGATAATCGTAATTGAATTGAATCGTGAAACCAGTGAAGATTCACAGCCCTATTTTTAAAACGGCAGTACTGACTTACAGAGATTCCAACTATAAACAAAAAGCATAGAAACCGCAATTTTGGTTAAAATGTAAAGTTGTAAAATTTTGCACAGCAGAAGAATTAATTAGGAAAAAATGTAGATCAAGAATCGTTTTGGAATCGGATCGTGAAGTGCCTAAAGATTCCCACCTCTAGTAGAGATTGTGGACTATTGTCTCTGTCGCAGTTACACACTCACGTGACGTTGCTGTGCTAACTGGTCACGAAAACTTATCGTTTGCACGTGTTTTTTTAGCATTGCGGTTTAAAAACAAGTGATTTTAAGCCGTTGAAATGCAATCAGCAGTGAAAGAGAACTGTGCTGGAGAGTTGAACAGTTATTTTTGCCGCTTTATATGCCTAGAACAGTTAAATACACGCACTTGCATGTGTCAAAATGCCCGTCTTTGCAAGTATCCTCGTAAAAACAGTAATTTCGGTCTTAAGTAAAAGCAAACAGCCGAGAAAGAGAACACGTGTAACAGTATAATGGATCCGTGCAGCTCTTAAAGTGACAGTAGTCTAATATTCCTGCTGTCTGTCATTCATGTTAAATAGAAAATCTCTCGCTGCTCTCGACTAAATCACTTTTGTAAATTTAATAAGAATAT